TGATTTTTAAAGTTGCTATCTATCTATTTTAGCTGTTTGAGAACATAAAGTAAAGATATAGAAGAAAAACTCGGAACTGTATTGAAATTGTTTATAATTCTCTAAGCAGATGACAAGGTAATCCTGGCAGAATCACCTGACCAACCTCAGAATGCGCTAAACAAATTTAAGAAATATTGCGAAACCTGGAAGATTGGAGTAAATGTTGCTAAAACTAAGATCCTTATTTTCTCAAATGGAATAACGACAAACTTTCCAATTTTCCAATACAACAATCATCCTATAGAAACTGTGAATAACTTTAACGACTTAGGAATTATTTTCAGCAAAACCGGCAGCTTTAAACAGTGCAAACAACATCTCAAGGACAAAGCAATTAGTGCAATGTACGAACGAAGTTTTAAGGAAGGGACGAATTCATAACTTATCAATTAAGTGTCATGTAGATTTATTTGACCTACTAGTAAAACATATCCTGCTATATGGATGCGAAGTATGGGGTTATGAAAAACATCGAAATACTAGAAAGAGTTCAAACAAAATTATTTAAGCTACTTTTACATCTTAAACCATCTTCTCAAAACGATTTCATTTATGGAGAACTGGGTCGTTAGCTTTTAGAAATAGATATACAAACTAGAATTGTATATTACTGGACAAAGATTATTACCGGTAAAGAAAGCAAACTAGCTGCTGTATTGTTTAAAGACCTTGCACAAAAAAAACCCAACATTTCGATCACGTTCGTTAGATAAGTTGAAAAGTATTCTAGACAATTGTGGATTCTCTTACCTATGGTCATTTCAAAACACAACGTCTAAAATTAAATCAGTAATTAAACAAATACTCGAAGATCAATTTACACAGTCATGGACAGGAAACCTAAACAATTCACCCAAAACTCTGAATTGTCGCCTATACAAGACATCACACAATTTCGAACATTACATTAACATAATTACATACAAAGATATAATTATTTATAATAACACTGTCGAGGTTCAGGACAATGAACCATAAGCTACCGATCGAAAATGGCAGATGGCAAAAAGTAAAATCACAAAAATACTGAGCTCCGAGGAAAATTCAAAAAGGAAAGTCCCTAATCAAATGGCAAAATCAAAATCTCAAACACATCAAATGACCTGTCATATTCCTGACTTGGTACAGGCATTTTCTGATGTAGAAAATACACCACAAGAACAAAGAAAGTGCCCATTGTGCAGCGTTGCTATAGGTGATGAATACCACTATTTAATGGAATGCAACAGTCTACGGACAAATTGAAAACTATTAATTGAATTGAAAAGAAATGCTTATCGAACTGTAATGTTTTTAAATTTAAAGCTATCATGAATAAAAAACAGCAATCTAAACTTCGAAAATTGTGCCAATTTATTATTTTTAATTATAAATGACAAACTCTCTCTGATGTTAACCTGTCGGCTGTGCTGTTCCTGATACCGTTATAATGTAACTCATATTATATGTTTCCTCAACAAACGTACAACGCGATGTAATGTAAATTTATATGTTTTTCTGCATACCTTTGTTCAACTAAGGTTATACCAGAATAAAATGATATATAGTTTTTAAGATAATTATAGGTAAAAACACAACAAATCGTAAAGATCGTCAACCGAAGATTTCGACTATGATGGTTTATTTGTAGATTTTGTCTTGTTAATCATTTATGCTATTTAAGTGTCTATCTATCTATAATAGTTTTCAAGGTAATAGGCAAACATACTAAAATGGGCAAAAATCGTCATTAAAGGGCAAATACTTTCAATTAACAGTCGACTGACAATTTCGGTCATTTGAATTATTTGTAGATCTTATAATGCTGATCACTTTTGTTTTCAAAGTTTTCGTTTGTCTATTATAATCTTGAAGATAATAGAAAAATATTGGGAAAAAATGGTAACATTTGTCGTTTAAGGGCAATAACTCCTATAATGTGTCGTCTGACAGATTGGATGTCATTAGACAGTAGGTAGATGTCCTCATTTTTAACATGTTAGCCTCAGTTTGATTATCCCTAGTACATATATCTGTAGCGGATTTCAAGATAATAGACATGAGATATATTGCTGAAATTGACAAATATATTAAATGGGGGAATGTAGGACAGAAAGTCACAGGACAAAAAGTCGCGGAACAAAAGTTACTGGACAAAAAGTCACAATTCAGTTTTGAGATTATTTTTCTTTGAATAAGAAAACACTTATTTTTAAAAACATGAATTGTATTTTTATTGAATTATAATATATAAAGCAACTTTGTAAACCAAATCTATTCTGAAAAAAAAAATCATCATATAATTGTTAAGAAAACAATTTGTCAAAGTACTTAAATGGCTTCATGGTGTCCAGAAATATATCCTTTGAATGTTTAAAATTTTATAAGGCTTTTGAACGATTTCCTTAACTGTAAAATGAATATATCTAATAAAAAGAAATTATTTCAAGAACTTTCTCTTATATATTAAAACAGTTCTAAACAAATTATTTGTGACTTTTTGTCCTATCAAATTTGTGACGTTTTGTCCTGTGACTTTCTGTCCGTTTACCTAAATAAAGATGTCGATTGCAAAGTATAGATAGCTCGTAGATATTTTTTCAAATTTTAATCATTATAATTGTTCATATATATCATAGGAAAATAATTTATTGTAATATATTAACATGTTTTCCATTTTTAATTCAAATTAACCATGTTTACATGACATATTGTCAACTACATTTCCCAAATGAATAAAATTTGCGATTTTTTTAAATTGCATGATGTACACATACAGTTCGAAAAAAATAGTTTTGATTGATTAGTAGGCGTGTCCAATCGGCAGGTGGTATTATTATCTTAAATAGGAAACCCTAAAGGATAAAACATCACGAATCGTTGTAAATATAATGGAATTTGATGCGACTATCATACAAGTGAGAGGTTTAGCGCTATAAAAACCATTTTCTACATTTGAAAATGCCTGTACCAAGTCAGGAATATGACAGTTGTTGTCTATTCGTTTGATGTGTTTTATCATTTGATTTTGCCCTTTGGTTAGGGGTTTTCCGTTTTGAATTTTCCACGGAGTTCAGTATTTTTGTGATTTTACTTTTTTGTATGGTTTGAACTCAAACATAAGGATAAAGTTGGCGTATGTGCTTTCTTCCCCTAGGATTCTTTGCACAAAAAAACATACGACAATGATTGATCGTAAGTTATACTGAAATGTTCTTGACATGTATAAAGTAAAATAACAAAAATACCGACTCCAAGGAAAATTCAAAACGGAAAGTTCCCCGTCAAATGGCAAAATCAAAAGCTCAAACACATCAAACGAATGGGAAACAACTGTCATATTCCTGACTTGGTACAAGCATTTCCTTATGTAGAAAATGGTGCATTAAACCTTGTTTTTATAGCTAGCCTGAGATTACTACTTGTTATAGTAGTCTCAGAGCTAGCTAAACCTCTCACTTGTATGACAGTTGCATAAAATTTCATTATATTGACAACAATGTGTGAACAAAACAAACAGACATAATAGGTAAACATGTCAAAAATAGGGGTACAGCAGTCAACATTGTGTTATAATCTTAATCATTATAAAAACAAACAAATATGTCAAAAAAGAAAAACTAAATGGCATATAGACAAAGCACATAAGCAAAAATGAAAGACAAGAATACAAAAATTTACCATAGCATAATAATGTATACGAGTATTTTTTGTTCTAAGATTTTTTTTATGAAATAAATCGCAGGTTCGTAAACTGATAATGATTGTTTAATCAAATATAAATTTACATTGTTGAATTTTGGAAATATATTCTTTTTATAAGAGAAGACTTACTTAAATGTGATATGCTAAGTTCTAAATTTACCGTAAATATGACGTTTTTGTTTTATTCACTAGGAAGTCTCGATCTAATGTATACAGTCCCTAAACTGTTGATAGCTAGATATTTGAAATGAAAGTATGTGAAACCACAGCTGGATCACAATCGTCGCTCCTCTGAACGTGAGAGGGTTCGCCAACAGATTGTCCTCCTCTTTCTTGCTCAACATATGTTTTAATCAGTTTAACAAAACAATTGGTTCTCAACTTTATTCTCCAATGGCTTGAATTGAATGAATACTTATATGCTGCAAAATCCAAGTTGGCAGAATGTTAATCTTACAAAATTGGCCACCAAAGTTTCGGGATATAGCAAAATATTAAACAAAATCTCAAGCCACCAAACTATTTATATTATGAATGGCGATATAGCATAGAGTAAGCCTGAATGGGAAACTGCGATAGAGAGAGATTGGTAGGACATAATACTTCTGTCGTTTGGGAAGTGAGTTTCAACTAAAAGTGATAAGCCTTGTAAAATAGGGACAGTTCTATAATCCAACAATATAAATGAAAGAGAATTTGATTTTATAAGGAGTTATTTTATCAATAAAAGTTATCATCATTTTACCAGGCAGTATTTTACCAAGGCCCCCTTGTTTGTAACTTTCGCCTATCACGTGACTGGGTTACAGTCGGTTACAGTTAACCGTTTTAGCCAAAATCAAGTATGACCAAAAGATAAACCTGACACGAGGACCCCTGGTAACTTGTATCAAAGTACCTCAATACTGAATAGTCGAATAAAGGAGGTACACCTAAGGTAATATACTTTAAAATCACTACTTTGTCTGTCTCAATGTGTCAAGCATTTTCCGGAATAAATTTCAAGCTTCTGATTTACATATATTATTTCAAATCTATATAATTATATGACGTCTTAAAAAGAATTGATGAAAGTACTGATTTTGGTCTACCGCCTTAATGAAATTAAGATCTTAAAATTTAGATTCAGACATGGAAATGACTTTCGGAACAAGTAGACTACATTCGAAGCAGCATTTCATTAAGTTAAACAGAAATTTATTGCATTGATTTATTTAACTTCAGTGAAATCATAATCACTTTTATTCAAATTATAATGAAAAAAGCTAAAATGTTTAGTATTTAGTGTGCATTTCTTGAGACTTGTTTACATCTTGGATACTTCTTCGACGAGGACAAAATAATTTGATTACTTCTTGTCGAAAGAGGGAGCCACTTAAACAATACAACATAAAGTTTAAGGAGTTATCTAAATAGGATAAAACATCAAATACGTCAACCAACTGCCAAATCAATATTTCATTGTCATGCGTTTCCCAGTAGATCATTCCAATCAGTAGGATTCCAGAAGGCGACGTGAGAATAACAAAGAAGATGTTTAACATTATTAAAACAATTGTCATTGACGAAAACTTTGAATTTCTGGACGAACCGTTGGTTCTGTTCGAACTACCAGAATCGCTGTGTCGTTGTATACCTTTTCTAGATCTTAGTACTTTAACAACTATTAGTATGTTTCCAATTATCATAAACACAGATGGAATGGCAGAATAAAGGCAAAGGTCTAGTACTGACCAGTACATTTCAAAAAAATCTCCGTATTCATTGGTTACGTAAACACAGACAGTGTCGTTCACATACGCATAAAACCCAACGCGATGACCGTACAACATGTGGCTGTTTAGTAAGACTATAAACAATGTAGCAATGAAAATTTTTATTCTGGCAGCTCGTTCTGTAAACCGATAACGTGATCCATACGGAAGCCATATGCAAAATAGTCTTTGGATTGTAAATGCAATTCTTATCCAAGCAGAACATTGCAGTGAGACATACGTCAGCCATTTGTGAGTACCACAAATGGCAGGGAAGTACCATCTTATGTCAATACCAAGGAGGAAAAATATAAACTTTCGCAAGAGACCAGTATACAGCACTATCAAATCTACTATCGTTAAATATCGTAAATATACAGCGCTAACAAGATTACGAAATCCACTTCTGCTCAAAACAACCATTGAAATGACATTTCCAATTGTTCCTAATATCAGCATCAGGAGGGAAAGTACTGCTCCCGCAATCATATTTGGTTCATATCAAATCACATCGAGCTAAAATATCTTTATTTTTACAATTTTATTCCATTAACTTTCAAAACATAAGTTTCCAATAAAACAGCAATATTGTGTCTGCCTGATATTGATTATTCAGAAAAATATCACGAAAAAGTTTTAATATGAATAGCCTAATCGCATCATTGGCAAGTGCTTATATGACCTGCAGTTGACTACCACGTGCATTTAGACTTCTGTTCATTCCTTTATCTCTAAGTTTCTGACTTTTTTTGACAAATCTGTATTGACATGTCGTGTGCTTGCAATGTAATAGTTCTTAAAGAAGCTTTAAATCATTTATTATATTATTTCACGATACTTTGTTTGAAAATATCACAGGGATCAGTGTCACCTTGAAAAAAGATATGTCAACAAATGATAGTAATGTTGTGTAGCTATGTGGTTCTCTTAGTCAAATACAGCTGTCCTAAAGTACCGTATAACAGCCTTGATGTTATAACGTTAAGTTTTGACATTGACACACTGTTTGTTGAGTACTTGATAATGTTACGTTTTGACATTAAACAGATTGTGCAGTGAGCATATGAACGTCTAATATAATCAATAAATACATGTTCTATGCAGAATTAAAAACTAATCATTACAACAAAACCATGGCTAGATGTAAATAAAACCAGATATCAATGGTTTTGTTTTCAATTCCAATGTCATGATCACATGGATAGAAATATAGAAGGGGAATGATACACAATTACGAAGAACTTTCCCCAAATTTTTCTTCGCAAGTAATGTTTGGAAACAGGATCCGTGTAATACGCATGCGGGTTTTCGAGAGGAACTTTTTAAAATTGCTTCCCATGGATACATGTACAATATATTCTATGCTCTAGAAAAAAAATTGAAGTCGTGGCCACAAATTACTAAGTCGCGGCCAAGAGTTACTATTTCTTGGCCACGAGTTAATTAACACTGCACCATGAGTTGTAGCGATGTGGAGTAAACAATAAGACAGCACCAACCGACACAACCAAATAGATTTCAATGTACAAACTTCAACACTACACAGGTGCATAGAAACGTTAATGTACGGACTTCAACACTACACAGGTGCATAGATACGTTAATGTACGAACTTCAACACTACACAGGTGCATAGATACGTTAATATACTAACCTTGTGTCCGATACTCTACTGACAGTGTTGCAAATGTGTTTCATTGTGTAGTGAAAATCAACATTTTTTTTGTATAGATATAAGAGTTCAAGATTGACTTTTGAAGACAGAAGTGTTTAAATTGAGTAAAAAACTAGTATGAAATAAAATTCTTTAGAATGTGAGATAAATTCATTCATGCCATTCTTTATTATCATGAAATGTGTTTCATTTGATGGATCGAAATAAATGTACATACAATTTGTACATAATGAATTTAGTTTCGCTCCATAGGAGTAATGTGACGGAATCATGACTCTGTAGGGAGATTAGCGGACACACGTTTACGTTATTGTTTTTAACAGGTTCATATGGCTATAAGTTATGTCAAGATTTAGACATTCACTTCCAACATTTCACAATGTAGAGCAGGATATGCTTATACCTTCTGGAACACCTGGTATCACCCCCTGTTTTGGTGGCCTGGGTCGTGTTGCTCAGTCTTTAGTTTTCTATGTTGTGTTTTATATACTGTTGTTCGTATTTTTTTAATATAGCGTTGTCAGTTTGTTTCCGACTTATTAGTTTGAATGTCCCTATAGTATCTTTCGTCTCTCTTTTTTACACATATTAACCTCTACTGCCAGATTCCTACGAGATTCAAAGAAAAAAAAGTTAATTCCAGACATCGTTCTTTTTGCATGTAACATGCTATTAAAATTGTATTTCAGACGATACATACGGAAATTGGATTGGATTTATTAGAGTGATAGCGATTTAAACGCCAAATTTAATATTTTCAACAGCATGAATGGCTAATATTGATAATTGCTTTCTACACGGAAACCTCTTATTGATATAATTTACTTTTATTTATTTGTTACATCACTGGTTCTCCAACAGTATAATGTGTTCCTGTCGGTAACGATAGATATCGTTTTAGTTAACTTTTTTTTTATTCGAGAGTCACTGATGAGTCTTTGTCAGACGAAACGTGCGTTTGTCGAAACAATTTTAATTCTGGTATCTATGATGAGTTTATTTATCTTAATTCGTTAGCGAAATAAAACCCTCCCACAAAAAATTTATGTTTTCCGTTTTATTTGTTACATGTATTCAAAATAGCCTGTATTCCGATATGTCATAAGATATATTAATTTGTAAAGTATCCATAGAATAGATTGATAGTAACTGAAAACTTGGGATTTACCTTGTAGAACTCCGTTGGTACAACAGTGGCGGTTTCAGTTTGGGGTGTGGCGGGCGGCACCCCCTAAAATTTGCAAAGCATGGGTTGTCCTCAGCTTAGTAAAGAATATTTCGATAATTTTACCTCAAAAATATTTTAAGTTTGCGCCCCCTAACCTTAAATCCTGGATCCGCCCATGCAATGTATCTGCTGAAGTCCCTCGTGCTTTCATATAATTTGTAAAAGCAATATGTACAGTACGAAATCTATAAAATAGCTGTTTAAATCTAAACATACATCGAATTTACCTGGAAGAAATCGATACATGGGAAGATTACTTTATTTGAATATGAAATGAATTTCTGTTTATGATTTCTTCATATTGGCGGTTCCATGATATATGGTGCCGGAAATGCAATGTAACCCTCCAAGCAGTGACTGTATAAAGCGGAATTATATAAGGACTTGATGTATCATGTTATCATTTCTATCAGTGATTAACTTTATTGTCCTGGAGTTCCTGTTCTGATATGTCAAGTTTCCGTTTTACAGTCATAAAGTTATAAACAGAAAAATAATTATAAAACTTGAAAACGTCAAAATCATTTGTATATTTTTATACTGATCTAAACCAAACCTATAACATTTACCGACATCGACTAATTTGTCTGAAAATATCACAAGGTCACTTAAAATAGATTTTTCTCAAGATATTTGTATAATGTGCATGATTCACAAAGGATTAACTTGTAAAACTGGTGTTATTTGCACTGTAAATAAAACAAACTACGTAGCCCCGTTAAGGACCTATACAAAAAAATAGCCTGCCTTGTGCACAAAAAAATATAGTGTGCGCACAATATAATAATATTGAGCACAGGTTATAGTTTTTGTTTCTGTATTGGTCCTTAACGGTGCTCCGTACAATATATTTATATTGAGCGCACACAATATATGTAGAGCGCACAATATATATTTTTTCTGCATATGTCCCAAATAGAGCTCCGTAACAAACACTTTAAAAATTCCATGCGTCCGAAGTGCTTTTCTTGACTTGCCTTCATCAGCACACTGGGAATCACGAATCGAAATCCGCGGAGGGATTCGAATTCCGTGGAGCAATTACACAAGTAAAATCGTGACCTGATTCCCACGGACCACTATTGCTGTCTCATCTAATTGCTCCTCGGGATTTGGATCCCTCCGCGGATTTCGATCGGAATACATGGTGTGAGCAGCTACAGTGGAATCTAAGGTGATGGGTGGCATAATGTCATTACGATTTAATTCGTTGGCTAGTTACCGAAATAATGAATTCAAATATCATAATATCACTCAGTGACATTCAGAATGAAGTAAATGTATATCTAAATAAGGAGATAGGGTATAATATCCAATGCAATGTACATTTTCTTTATACATGTATATTTCCCATTATTTCATAGGTGGTCTTATATTCATACTCTTGTATCAAGAGTCACTAGTTTTCAAAGGAACTGTAGATCCTTATTGAGCACACGAAGTCACCCTGTACTTTTTATATAAAAAAAGATGTGGTATGATTGCTTTTGTTGGATTCGTGTTGCTCAATTTTTAGCTTTCTGAACGGTTATTTGGTTTCTTCGACTTGGAATCTTCTCCTGGTCTTTTTCTCACTATCCCTTTTTATTTCTTAGTAGTGTTTTCTGTACTGTTTTTATTTTTTTTTTAATTGGAATATTCTCGGTCTTATTTCTCACTATCCCTTCTTATTTCTCAGAAGTGTTGTCAGTTTATTTTCGACTTATGAGTTTGAATGTCCCTGTGGTATCTTTTGCCTCTCTTTTTTAACGGATGTATATCATGATTTTCCCTCTGTTTGCTTTTTTAAACACAGCGCATCTGCAAAGATAATTTAATGTTTGACCTATAGCTTTGTTGTACATGAACTTTCAAGGGCATTTATAAACACAGTATATTTTCAAAGGTAATCAGATATTCGATCAATAGCTTTGTTGTTAATAAGATCACGAACTTCCCTTTGTATTTATTAACGTACTGTTTTTACAAATTGTAAGGTAATCTGATATTTGACACATAGCTCTGCTGTTACAGTGTAATAAGAAATTCCACTGTTGTTTAAAAACTCAGTTTATTTTCAAAGGTTATCCGATAAGAGAAGTGTTT